ACGCACTCACAAGTGTCAATGGTACTAATAACAGCTTTTCATTGGCTGTCGCAAATGCGTCTGCGAACTGCGTTCTGCGTTTGCGACTTATGTAGATAGCCCTTAAGAGTCTTTACTTTAACTAATTGTCATTGCATTTATCGTTTAATAGAAAAATAAATTAAGATTTTGGAAACAAATGAAATACATGAAATTCTTATTAATTAAAATGTGTTGGAAAGAAAAACATCGATCATAAACCACATCACAGGTGAGACACACATTGAACAATTAATGTTAAAAATAAAATTCATTGAACATTCTTATTTATGCATCATATTGAGATCTATATTAAAATCAAAATTATTTCTTCGTTGAAAGGCGAAAAAGAGTAAAGTAGAAAAATTAAATTTTATGAAAAAAATCATCTAAAGTATTCTGAAGATATCGTATAGTCCCAAATTTCAACATCAAAAGATGAAATAGAATCGTAATCCTAAATCCCTCAATAGTATATGTGTCTAAATATTTTTTATAAAAAGCCTTGCTGTATTGTTCTATTATTTTATTATTTTTTTCTGTATCTTTTCGTAAGAAATTTTTTCTGCTAGGGTTGTCGCACAAAGTAACGTCATGACCTGTGCATAATGTGTTTGAAAAAAAAAAAAAAAAAAAAATACGAACAAGCATGAATCATTTGTTTAAATCAGGTTGGGCGCATTCTATTCGAAGTACGTATGGCTAAACTGACCATACTTGTATACTCGAGATACGTAAAGCTGCTAGGCATACATATGTCTACATATATAATATTTTATGCCTTAAAAAGATACCTATACTGGTATAAATATATTTTAATTTATAAAATCAGTAATTATTTGGAGGATAATATAGTTATATAATCATACTCGTGTAATTTATAATGTGCTTCATCTAACCATATCTACTTAGAAATAATAGTATAGTTGAATTTTTTTTACATACCGACTGATTAATGTATTTATTGAGATCGCTGTTATATCTAAAAAATATAGTTGTGCTAGGAATTAACCCTTTACTATATACAGTTATCAGACCTTTATCATTTCTCTCCGTGTGTTGAATGAGAACGTGTCTTTGTGTAGCGTGAGAATATGTGTTTAATTTAGCTTATATTATGCATTTGTTCAACGTTCATATTTTTACTCTCTACATCTAAATACTTAATTATTGCGTATTTTTGATCGTATAAATTTTGATAAATTTATTTTCGATTAAATGTGATTGGATTTTTTGTCCGATCAAGATGATCGGAAATATCCATTTGCTACTGTTTGAAAAGATAATACGATCATTATGATTGGAGAAATCACGATGGATATATTTTTCTTAGTGTAAGAATTACGATTTCATTTTATCTTTTGATTTTGAAATTTACGAATCTATACATACCACAGTATGACGATCGAAGAATGTTCAGTAAATTTTACTTTTAATTCAATGTATGTTCAACCTGTAATGTGACGTAATATATGACTTTTTTACTTTTATTTATATATTAACATATCTCTTCCGTTTTAAATAAGAATTTTATGTATTTCATTTGTTGAAATATTTCATTGTACATATTTAAATAGCTAGTTTTAATCATGATGTTTTAATAAACTAATTTTAATCTTGACTTAAGTAACAGCCCAATCTTGCCTAAACTAACAGTTTGAGCTTTCTATTAATTTTATTATGTTTGAATTGCAATTTTGAGCTAGGAAATTGATATTATAAAAATATTATTAGATATCCAACAAAAAACTATTTTGTACGATTCGGAAATATATGCCTTGTAGACATATAAAAACACTGTTCAAATTTATCATCACAACATTACATATTTTTCTAAAATCTAATATTTATTTAACGTGATACGATTTCATATAAGGTGACGTTTGGATAATAACGCTATCGGTGCATAATATCTACACTTCACAATTCTTTCCACAAAACGCACATATTTATGTATGTACGCAAGAGAAGAGATACATTTTCATCCGATGTATCCAGTTTACCGAACAGATATACAGAAATTGAGTGCGAAAGCTGGAATGAACAAGCGTGTTTGCGGTTCCATGGCGGACGTGGATGGAGATAACGCATTAAAATAGGCTGGTGTACGCGATAACACACACTTATAATATCTGCTGCGAGACGTCGTTCTCCTCTCAGCGATATTAAATCGCATTAAATGCAGTGATGCCGAACGGTGGCGCCTTTTGTCGACGCCCGTAACAAAGTTTGACTAGCGAGATTTATCTCGTCACTTTATAATCAGCTCTGCTACGGTTAAACGAATCGACGATGTAACATACTCTTTCGCGTTAATTTATCAACAAAAATAATCTAAATATCCAATGATTATATAATTATTTATATGCACTTTCACGTTATCGCGTTTTTTATGTGATTTATTAAGTATGGTATTGTATCGATTTTACTTAGTTATAAATAATTAATATTTATTCATAATTAAAAATTGGTTCAGATCTCTGATTGTCTTCAACAATGTCGCAACTACGACACGAGCGCGTATGATTGTCCATTTTTCTTTCAATGAATAGCGAATGATTTGCACGAATTTCGCAAAAAGACTCAAAGTATACCGATGCGTTTCTATTTACTGTCGCGAAAAGAAAGTATAGTAATATTGATAAAAAGATGAACATTATGAAAATATTTTCTTTTATTCATTTTGCATCTCATTTCGTCTTTGACTGTAATAAATAAAATAATTTGACAGTTATGAATACGTTAATATTTAAAAGTGTAAGTAATTACACAATTGTATTTATAAAAAAATAAAATTGCCATTAAAATATAATTGAATCATCAGTAATAAGCGTGATTAAAATGGATATAGTAGCTAATAAAGTAGTGAGATTACCTAAACAACATCGCAGAGTGACTCAGGAAGAAGACGGTCGAAGTTTTAATGCTATGTTGTAAGCATATTGCTGCGAATCTATTCCCTTCGCGATTTCAGCCTGGACGTCAAGCCACCTGTAAGATGTAATTATATATCAGCACAGTCGGATAATAATCGTCACGTGATAACGAAACATACGTTACAAACAAATCATCGATTGAAGATGGGAGCAAAAAAACACGAGTAAAAATGACGATATGGGAGATATTTACATTTTCTACTACATCACCCAACGCAAAGTGTCGTGTTAACAAGAAGGTACACTTTGGTTTGCATATAATCTTTATATCTTTAAATATAATTATACTGCTAAGCGTAATTATATATTTATAAACTGCGTTGTATCATTTATTAAGAAGTTATATGGAGAAAAGAAAAGTATCGGTTTCGAAACCGGGGCATCGTGGATCACGAGGTACCATGGGTCATCGATTGTTTAACATCATCTAGAATCAAAGCTTTAAACGGTCTAGCTGGATCTTAATGCTTGTGTGATTCTTATGTGAATTTTATACTAAGTATGTATTATAGAAACGCGCGGCGAAATAATTTTTTGGTCTTGAAGTATTTAGTACTTTTTTTTACCCTATTATGTTTTATTTTCATTTTTTTTTTAAAGTAATATACTTCATGTAATTATTACATATTTTTTTGGTGTATATAATTTGGAAAATATATAGTTTATTTTAATAACCAAAATTAATCGGTTAAAAGGAGCTGTCGGAAAGTGAAAGTTGGCGCAGAAATCAATAAGCGCAGTTTCAACGAGAATCGTTGGTTTCATTTTAGTTCAAAATAATGGGTGTTGAGTTGTGACGTCGTTTTAACATCAAGTGACCGATAATCATTTAATCGATAACCGTATATATTTTGGCTTCGTATTTGAGACTATTTTGTTTATACTATTTACTTATGAATAAATTGCGAATTACCCAGCAAGAAATAACCGTCAATTAGACGTCAATTCGATGGGTTCTTGCTGGATATATTTACTTTTTAAAAATAAGGTTTTTTAAACATATTTTCTTTGTACGAATACTTTTTGCACTCACTGTAAGTAGTATAACGAGCAACAATTTACAAGTAAAAGATGGATAGGTATCTCGAACAATTAATATAACTAACTTGCTGCAAGATGGAAAATCAACATAGCAAATTATATATCGGATATTTCATATCTTATACTGCAAATACGTTAATTTAGTATAACTGGCAACGACGTAACTCCAGCTACATGAAAAAAACTTGCGCGCAGTTGATCTTTCAAAAAATTTATAAAAGTTTACATCTCGCTGGGATATGTATCATATTCCACCTTCACGGTTCACGGAAAGTTAAGAAAATAATATTCACATCAAAATTATAAATGTCTAATATTTTTGTCTGTTATAATATTAATTTTTGATCATTCAAATTAATCTATAATTTATATGAACTTTTTTTGCTTAAAATAAATTCTAGAATACATATATATATATATTCTAAAAGATTGTCACGGTTTCTTCACGGAATACCTTGGAATATTATACATACGATTTTATTATTTAAAAATATATACATATTAAACAATTTGTTTTCATTATTTTAAAACAAAAATCAATATAAAATCAATCTTTTCAAGGCTTGACATATTAATAGCCGTATTGCAGATAATAAATAACATTGTAGTTTCTTGGATAATTTGAACATATCGCAAGAGTAGAAAGAAGCCGCGTCCAATAAGAGAAATTCGTCCTCGAGGTGTAAATAATGTCGCAGGAAAAACTGAATTGATTAAGTACACAAGCGCATTTCACGTTGTCGGGAAAGCCAATCTTCTGAGAAAAAAAATCACACTACCAATTGTCGCGTTCAACAATAATCCGTTGTGATCGATAATTATCAGCGGATTAAGGGATTTTGTGATCACTTGAGAAATGCCACATCCATTATGACGTTGTGAAAACGGATGCGTAAACTTGTAAGCTTAATTTAAGCACTCGGATTAAACATATCTCTGGTGCGTGTCGCATCAGTTAACATCACGTTACACCTCGCTACCATAAATGTAATCAGACAGATAATTGAATCGACACTCATCAATTTCTAATCGCGTGTATCACGCAAGCCGGACTCACTGGCGACTTTTCAAATCAATATAACTCGAAACGTTCAATGTAATGTATGTGCAATATAATAGTAGCCGTATTATATAAACGTAATAATGTTCGAACCGAATTGATTAAAAAAAAATGTAGGTATCGATAAACTGTTTTAGAGCGTAGATGGACAAACGGAAAATTATTCGAGTAAACTTAGATCATATTTAGCAAAATTCTGAAGTAAGACGCCATTTCCGAGACATTCACCCTTTAAAACACAGCAAGTAATATGGCACTTCAATTAAATTGTATTGGGAAAAATCATTCCAGTTTTCAATGAGAAATATCGTCACCAAACGCACACCTATTATCGCACACTCCATGTAATTTGAATGATTGCATTCACGTTAGCAAGTAATGTCACGGTCTGTTGCCGTCACGGCATTCATTCTTAAAAAAAATATTCGACGTGACCGTACCTGTTCAGATTGGTTTACGATATATGCAGATATATTTATTCTGAGTCCTAATGGCAGATATATATACATAGAAATGATCCATGGACGATCCAAAATTATATAAGATAACGTAACGCACAACTTGACATAATTGCAGATACAAATATTTACAGCAATTAAATCTACAATAATGCATAGAGTGCAATGTTTAGTTCAGTTTCAATCGCATCGTTAGTTTACTTAGCCCTCGAAAACAATGCAAAAAAAAAACACAATATAGCAAAATGAAAGAATTATTTTAAAGTATTCATATTAATTTGCATAAAACAATCATTGATGCAAAATAAAGTAAAAAAATTGAAATGAAGTACGTTCTATGTGTGTAGATCAGTGACATAAGAAATTAATAATAAAAGATTTTCATAGGAAGAATCTCGCTTCTTAGCCATGCAACTGCCACGTCAGTCGAAGATGCGGTAAGAACGCAGGGGATTCCACTATTCTGGCACACACGGTACATCGGATAAAAGAGAGAAAGATGAAGCTGGAGTCCAGATATAGACTGGTTACAGGTAATAGTTCGGTAGGTAGTAGTGGTAGCGAGCTGTAGGACCGGTAGGTTTGGTTTACTTCAGGTTCGTTGCGGCCAGCCGGTTATAGCAACTCTTCTTCTTCTTCTTCTTCTTCTCCTCTGTCTTCTTCCTCATCTTTTTTTCTTTCTCCGCCACCGCCGCCTCCACCGTCGTCTCCTCCTCGTTCATAATTTTCTCCCTCCATCCTTTTTTTTTTTTTTTTGCGACGTTTCTTACCCCGATACTTATTTTAACGCCGATGGGGAGATGTAACAAAGTGCATTCACGAAAGTGATCGCGTCGGCGCGTTTGCGCCTGACGTAAAATATAGCGTGCTTTTATTTCCTCTAATTTTTTTATTTAGTTATATTTGGATGATAACGCCCGACAACAGGTGTGTGTGTGTGTGTGTGTCTGGTCGCTTTTGAAATTTATTAACTCTTTTCTGTTCACGACTCGTTTCGAATTACTTGTCGGAACGAACGAGCGACATGCGAATAATCTTTCTTGAAAGTCTCTTTGTATACCGACAACTTTGACGGAGGCGTGTCTATGTCGACAGGCTGCCATTAGGACTCAGTAAGTATATCTTTGTGCAATCCAGATGCAACGTAATCCCCGCGAATCGAGTAGACTTTTTAACTGAAATTTTGCCATGCGGCCTGGCCTGGCCAATACCGACCGGATCTCGGTAATATACTATATTCATAATGCTCGCCTAACATTGTAATCCCTGAACTCAACAATGAATAGATTCACTTGAGAGAGAGAGAGAGAGAGAGAGAGAGAGAGAGAGAGAGAGAGAGATCGCTTGAGCGAGTGGATTGTAAATTCAATGCATACAGTGCGAGAGCGGCAAATACGTAATGTCATAACACGCGCAGGCGGATAAGAGTAAAAGTAACGAGATATTTTCGCACTGCTGCCGCTGCGTGACAGATCAAAACAGCGCGATTAACGGCGATCCGACGACGTGGCCGTAACCGGTGATTACTAACGGTCTCAAGTGCGACATAAATGTATAGGGAAAAAACGCAAATGTTTGATATCGCTAAAC